AATTCTGGGCAGCTTGGGCATGTTTGCCCTGTGAGCAAAAGGTCCAACACAGGGATCCTTACATTATACACCTGAACATTGCCTTGTAAATGGTGGTTTCTCTTTATTTTGGTGGAAAAAACCATGTTTCAAATGGGCAAACTATATTTTTTAAGGAGCCCTGCAACATGTTGCAGGTTAACGAGAACAGGGGTCGAACTGGATTTCCCTGAGTCAAAAGTGGCACTGTTGGGGGTTCAACGGAAATGGAGGACACCCTAAAAAAGCCAAGCGGTTCCCAAAGGTCCATTTTTTGGGGCCAAAAGGGGTCAACGACCGGTGACAAAGGTAGAAGGAGACTTGGGTTCTCTACATATTGGAACTGCGAGCACCTTAGTTTCCCTTTCGAACCAAAAAAGGAGGCTTTTTCACCAAACGACACACCGAATTGGAAGCCTCGGAGACCAACAAGAGACGGGTGCTGAGCTGGACTTGGCCACCCAAACAACGAGCGTTTCTGAGAAACATAGGGAGCCCCTGCTGGTTGTTGATGTCTTTTTGCTCACTTCCTGAGCTGATGGTTCCAAAAAAGGCCCGAACTTTTAGTTCACCTCTATGGTCTTTCCAAAAAGAAAGAAGTCCATGAACTCAGGAAGTGAGTTTGGCGATCGCCCTTCTCCAAGAAAAGGATGGGCAGAAAAACGGGACGACTCCTGGGTGCTGGAGAAAAAACGGGCATGCGGCAGCTGAGAAGCCAAAAGAACCCCGGGTGACATGCGGCACGTACCGCACCAAAAAGGAACATATCATTCAGATGGTCGATTAGTCTACCTGGACATAATGGAGGAGACGCCAGTTTTATTGGAGACCCCAAGAAAAACAACTCGTACCCCAGCCAAGCCCAGCCTCCGTTTGTCTAAGCGGCCTGGAAAAACACCACGTCCAGTATAGTGATAGATTCCCTCAAAAGACACCAACCAGCGAAAAAATCCCCCATATTCTTAAGCATGATTTTCCAGCCGCGCGACGCGAAGGGCGCTGCGCGACGTGCCTGATGAAGCGGCAGTTCTTGCGGAAGGACCTCAAAGTGTCCTCCGTCAGCTCCGGGCAGCCTGGCCGGGAGAACCTCATGGCGTCGACTTTCAAAAATCAGCACAAAGAAAGGTCCACAGCGGGCAGGGTCTAGACGTCCACCCATCATGTTGGAGGGTGGGAATTACTCTAGAACCAAAGCCGTGACGTTTCAAACTAAAAGGGAAATGAAGCATCCCTCGGAAGGGAAACAGGGCTTCTCTTCACTACCGGAAATGGGTGGCTTCCCTTGTTCCTTCAAAAAAGTCGCCCAGAAGGCCTCCTCAACGGAAACATGGCTCTTCTGGCACGTTTTCTCGTTGCACGCAGAAGGATTCTCTCAGTGCTACTCAGGGCTTTGGCAGGGAGCTGCAACGCACTCGAGTCAGTGACGCTGACGAGGCGGAAGCGTGGCTCCCGCATCAGCAAGCTTAACGAGGGGACACCTTGCTGGGGTCGTTTGGGGTCTGGGGGCTCCCTAAAATTCATGTCAGGTTCGAAAGGGTTCATTCGGAGAGAGTCCAACTTTCAGTTGGGACGCTTTGGTGTCAAGCGTTCCAATGGACTCGTGGGTCCCTGGGTACTTTGAAAACGGCAACCCCAAAAAACGCACCCGAAACGATCTCTGAAGGATCAATTTGCGGATGGCAGGTTTTCCCCCTCAAGCGGCAGTCCCGCATGACATAGGAATCCCTCTATTCATCAACTGGCTTATTACTCCAGGGTTCGCGTTCAATGGCACTGGCAAATGATTGTCGTCTTTTTGCAACCAGACTCACCTCAAAAAAAACGCCTCTGGGTGCACCCTGCAAACGACTCAGTGGTAGCTTTCGCTGGAGGTCTGAGGCTCCATAAACAGCATCCGGCGTGCGCGTGACCCTTGCCTATTGGGACTTGCGGACACGTAGCCCAGTTTGGACTTCAAATGGCCGTGACTTAAACGGACCAAGCAAGGAAGAAAAACCCAAAGTTGACCAAGGAAGAAAACCCCAAAGTTGACCAAGGAAGAAAAACCCAAAGCCGACCAAGGAAGAAAAACCCAAGGTTGACCAAGGAAGAAAAACCCAAAGTTGACCAAGGAAGAAAAACTACAAGTTGTCAGATATCCGGTCGATTCGCTTCAGTGAGCCTATGCCTCACCCGCCAAAGCGTCCAAAGAACCGCCGCCTCTCAAGTCCACAGTCTGGGCATCATGGAGCAGGTCCGCCAGTGCCTCGCAGCTTGCAACTGGCGATCTCCATGTGATTGGAACATGGCGGTTCCGCTGCCAAGGCTTGGTTGGGTTCCATTCTCCCGAGCTTGTTGCGCTTTTTTTTGGCTAGTTGTTTTTTTGGTTAATTGAAGACCACCAAATTTGAGTGGTTAGCCGAAAGCTCGGATGCTCTTGCCAGTCCACTCAGTACCCCTGCAGGAGAAACTCGAACAACTCAGCGCTGGAAAGGGAACCACT